GTAGAGATACGTTTAACTCTGCTTTCCCTATTAGAATGCCTTTTATTTCCTTCTCTTGTCTGATCACATTAGCTAAGACTTCCAGTACCATATTGAATAGAGGGGAGAAAGTGGGCAGCTTTGTCTTGTACCAGTTTTTAGTGGAAAGGCTTTCAACTTTTCCCCATTCAGTATAATGTTAACTATAGGTTTTTCAATAGATTGCTTTTATTATGCTGAGAAATGGTCCTTCTATGCCAATTTTCCTGAGCGTCTTAATCATAAAAGAATGTTTTATTTTGTCAAATGCTTTTCCTGCATCAGTTGAAATGATCGTATGGTTTTTATTTTTCTTTCTGTTAATACGTTGTATTACATTTATGATTTTGCATATGTTGAACTACCCTTGCATCCCTAGAATAAAGCCTACCTGGTTGTTATAAATAACCTTTTTTATATGCTGTTAAATACGATTAGCAAGTATCTTGTTGAGAATTTTTGCATCTATATTCATCATAGATATAGTTCTGTAGTTTCCCTTTTTTGTCGTATCCTCATCCATTTTGGGAATGAGGGTAATGGAGGCTTCATAGAATGGATTTGGAAGGGTTCCTTCCTTTTGGATCTCTAGAAAGTGTGAGTGAAATGGGGATTGCCTCTTCTTTAAACGTTTTGTAAAATTCAGCAGTGAAGCCATCAGGACCTGGAGTTTTCTTTGTCGGAGGGAAGTAATTTATTTCTGATTCAATGTCATTGCTTGTTACAGGTCTATTCAGGCTTTCTATGTCCCCCCTGAGTCAAACTTGGGAATTATATGTGTCCAGGAACTTGTCCATCTCATCCAGGTTTTCTTCTTTGTTGGCATATAGTCGCTCATAGTATTTTTAAATGATGTTTTGTGTTTCGATTATGTCTGTTGTAATGTTGACTGATTCATTGTGAATTTGATGTATCTGGTTCCTTTCTCTCTTCTTCTGAATTAGTCTAGCTCGTGGTGTGTCAACCTTGTTTAGCTTTTCAAAGAACCAGCTTTTGCTCTCATTTATTTTCTGTATAGTTGGCTTATTTTCTATTTCATTTATTTCTGCTTGAATCTTTATTTCTTTTCTCCTGGCATTTTTGGGATTTTTTTATTGTTGTTTTTCCAACTCCCTGAGGCATAATGTTAGATTGTCCTTTTGCCACCTTTACATCTATTTCTTGTGTGCACTAATTGCTATGAACTTCCCTTTCCTGACTGTTTTTGCAGTGTCCCATAAATTATGGAAACTTGTGTACTCATTGTCATTTGTTTCCATGAATCTTTTGATTTCAGTCTTAATCTCTTCAGTAGTCATGAAGTCATTCACAAGTAGGTTACTTAGTTTCCATGTATTTTTGAGGGTTTTTTCCTGAGGTTAATATCAAGTTTAATTCCATTATGGTCAGAGAAGATGCTGGATATAGTTTCTATGCCTTTAAATCTGTAAAGGCTTGTTTTGTCCTCTATCATGTGGTCAGTCTTTGAGAAAGTACCATTCAGGACTGAGACAAATGTGCTTTTTGTTTTTTGTTTTGGGTGGAAAGTTCTATAGATGTCTATCGAGTCCATCTGATTTATGATTTCATTTAGGTCCTCAATCTCTTTGCTTATTTTTTTTTGTCTCATTGACCTGTCTAAAAGAGATGATGGGGTGCTGAGATCTCCAGCGATTATTGTGTTACAGTCTATGTCTCCTTTTAGATCTAGTCGTCTTTCCTTTACATATTTGGGTGCTCCTGAGCTGGGTGCATAGATATTTATAAGCATTATATCTTCTTGGTGAATTAGTCCTTTTACTACTGTATAATGCCCTTCTTTGTCTCTTAACAGTTTTTGTCTTAAAGCCTATTTTGTCCGAAATCAGTATAGCAACTCTCGCTTGTTTTTGGTTTTTATTTGCATGGAATACCTTTTTCCACCCCTTCACTTTTAATCTATGTATGTCTTTTATTTATTTATTTATTTATTTATTTATTTTAGAGGTTTTTGCTATAGGGCACGTGCACTTGCCAGAAAGACAGAGAGAGACAGAGAGACAGAAAACAAGAAATCATCCCCTGGGGGGATGGACACACCACAATCCCTTCTCCTCCATTCTCCTCTTGGGATCTTGAGCATGCACACATGCACACGTGCCCAACTTGAGTTTAAGCCACCAGGTCCGGGACTCAAACCATGGTCGACTACATGGGAGTCCAGCAACATAGCCATTACAACAACTGCTTTATGTATGTCTTTATCCATGAGCTAGGTTTCTTGTAGGCAGCAGATGGAAGGTTTCCGATTTTTAATCCATTCAGCCAGTATGTGTCTCTTGATTGGAGAATTTAATCCATTAACATTCAATGTTATTATCAATTTTTCCAGACTTGCCCCTACCATTAAGTTGACCATATACTCAGTTGTTTTTTGTTCTCTTATTACTGTCTGTTTGTCTTTAGTTTTCTTGGTATAGTATTCTTTTCAGAATTTCTTGGAGAGCTGGTCTGGAGTTGGTAAATTCTTTCAGGTTTTGTTTATCCAAGGATGTTTTTATCTTTTTTTTTCCCCATATGAAGGATAGTCTTGCTGGGTATAGTATTCTTGGTCGAAATAGTTTTTCATTTAACACTTTGAATATATTTCCCCATTCTTTCCTTGCTTATATTGTATCCAGCTTTTGAGAGGATCTTCTTGGATTGATTCTACTTGGGGTTCTTTGTATTTCTTGGGTCTGGATGTTTGAGTGCCTCTCAAGACTTGAAAAGTTTTCTTCCAGACTTTCATGGGATCCATTAGCAATGCCCTTATTAGTTTATTCACTTTCTGGGATACCAGTTATTTGGATGTTTGGACATTTCATGGTATCTAGTATTTCTTGTATAGTATCATCAGTTTTCTTGGATGTTTTCTCAGTATTTTTTATTATTTTTTCGAGGTCAGAAGTTTTGTCTTCTACTCCTAAGATTCAATCTTCTGCATGGTCTAACATGCTTTTAATACTTTTGAGGGAGTTTTTTTTTTTTTTCTTTGAGAGGTTTTCACTATAGGGTGTGTGTGCTCGCCAGACAGACAGAGAGAGACATAGAGACAGAAAGCGAGAAATCACCCCCCAGGGGGAGCAATCCTTTCTCCTCCATTCTCCTCTCGGGATCTTAGGCATGCACACACACGCGCCCAGTGTGAGTTTTAAGCCACCGGGTCTAGGACGTGAATCACGGTCAACTACGTGGGAGTCCAGTGACATAGCCATTACGCTAACTGCTGGTTCCCTCGAGGGAGGTTTTGATGTCCTATATTACAACCTTCACATCTAACAGTTCTGTTTGTTTCTTTTTTATGGTGTCCAATTCTTCTTTCATATCGTGGAAGGACCTCCTCCGCTCTTGTAGCTCAACATCTCTTTTCTCTTCCATCTCATTGAATTTTGTTACCATAAATATTCTGAATTCTTTTTCTGACATTTCAGTAATATCCTCTAAATTTTCTCTACTCGGAGATGAGTTACAGTGCTCCCTTGATGGAGATGTATTACTTGATTCTCTCATCCTTGAGGCTCTTTTCCGATTCTTAGTCATTTGGTAATGTGTTCACTTTTGTCTAATTTGTTGGAGAGGGATTCCGTGACTGTGAGCTCGTGTATTTCCCTTACCGTGAAGTAGTATGTTATTATTTTCTCCCTTCTACTGTGTTCTCCAGTGTGGGAATCATAGGATAATTTTGCCAAAAAAATTATGATGCGGAATTTCACTCTTCTTGCAATAACTACAGTGAGGTGCAAAGAAATGTCTAAAATTCACAATGTTCAGATGTTTAGCTACTATGTACCTAGTCTTCTCTAGGAAGTGGGTAAGGACTGATCAGTAAAACAGGGAAGTAAAGAAAAAGAATGTAGGAAATAGAAGTAGAAAAAAAAAGTGAGGAAAATGGAAGGAAAGAACTAGAACAAAAAGAGGAGGGAAAAAACCCAGAAATCATGTGGTAGATAATGAAATTGGGTTAAAAATAGAAAACTGCTTGGGGGTTAGTGCATGGCCAACACAATCAGAGGTGGACTGGCCTGGATGCTTTCTGTCCTGGCTAGCACTGAGGTCTGGAATGGGGGTCACTGGCTGCAGTGGGGGGGTTCTGCTCAAAGCCCTGATGCTGTACCCAGAGGGCCAAAACAGTCATAGGTAGGTCTCTTGAGGTTATATTTAAAAACTCTTTGCCTACACCCATGTTGTGAAGTGTTTCTCCTAGGTTTTCTTCTAGTAGTTTCATAGTTTCAGCCACCAAGGGAATGGCCATGCTGCAATCCCTTCTCTTCAGTTCTTCTCTTGGGATTTCGGGTACACACATTCAGGCATCTGGTGTGATTTTCAAGCCATCAGGTCCAGGACTTGAACCATGTAGTTGGTCATGTGGGATCCAGTTGCCTTAACCACCACACCACTGGCTGGCCCACACGTTATATTTCTTTAAAAGATCAGCAGTTGATCTCCTGAATGGTGCCCTTCCCCAGCTGCCTATTAGATATCACTTGGAAATCATCATTATAATTACTTTTTTTTTTTTTGATGTCTTGGTGCACAGCACATAGCTCTTCTGAACCTCCACTTCCTTATCTTTGAAATTAAAATAGTAGCATTGCTAGGATTTAGGATGAAGATTTGAAGGTATCTGATAGTAATAGGGCCAGGAATGAATCCATCATTGGCAGAATGATTAGTTCATTTAATAAATTGACAGCTATTCAGTGAGTTTCAATTAAGTGCCAAGTACTGTCAGGTTATGTGTTATCATGGTGAACAATACAGCAATCTCTGGTTTTCTGGAGCTTAGAATCTGGAAGGGAAAGCAGACCTCAAATGAGTAAAAAGCAAATAAACACAGAAACACAAATCATAACAGCTCTGATAATGGTCGGGAATGCTGAGAGAGAATCTTAAAGGGAGCAGAGGGACTGTCTTAGATCTCATAGTGAGGGAAGGTTCTTTTGATGTGTGACATTAAGCTGAAACCTGAAGGGTGGGTGTCCAAAGCTTCACCCTTGGGGAGGCTCCCAACAAATTATTAATGGACACCCTTATCAAGATACAATTAAAATATCTTAATACGGCATTAAAAATCCTCCAAGAGTAGGGTTGTCAGATAAAATACAGGATTCCCAGTTAAAAGTGAATTGCAGATAAGCAACGAAAGGTTTTTAGTATGTTATTAAATATTACATGGAACCTATTTATACTAAGAAATTTATTATTTATATGAAATTCAGATTTAATGCAGTATTCAGTATTTTAACTTGTTAAATCTGTTAACCCTAACCATGATCTTTCCAAGTCACCCTCTCCTACCTAATTCCCATCATTTCCTCTATCTACGCCTTGTCAACAAGAATTGGTCCCACTTCCGCATCTCTGTTAATTCTGTTCCTTTCACCTGGGTCACCATTCTCCGATCATGTCATCTTGACGAACTCATTTCATCTTTTAATCCCACTCAAATGGCACCTCTGGGAAGCCTTCTCTGGCAGAGTACATTATTTCCTTTTAAAAAACAAAGTTCATTAATTTGTTTCTTGGAGAGAGGTGGAGAGAGAGACCCACAATGGGTCTTCCTGCCATTATCCACTGCCCCCCTCCCACTTCAGCCAGTACACACGCATGTGCTCAGGGATATATACCAGGAAGCCAACCTATACGTTCCCATGTGGATACAGAGGTGCAGAGTATTTTGTTACCACTGTGCCATCTTTGACCCTCGTTATCTCCATTCTAGGATGTTTACCAAATCTTGTTCTTACCGGATTTTGTCTTTTGATTTTATGTTTTAAGGACTAGTCTCTAAAAATACATAAGAGAAATTTGAATGCCTGAAAAGGAAAGGGTATATGGAGTCATCTCATCTCTCCCACCCTCTGCCCATCCCTCTCCTGTTAAAAACCTTGCAGTATTTAAATCAAACATTGATTGAGCACTTTCTACACCAGGACCTGTGCTAAGTTCTTTGCCTTTAGCATCTCATATAAACTTTTCCTTATGAGATCGAAGCTCCACTTTGTGATGAGGAAATCAGGTAGGTTAGATTGAAGTTAGTTTCCACAACTCTAAAATGAAACTCACAATAATATTTTCTCTCAGTAGTTTTCTCTCCAACTAGGATGTAGGTTCCAGGAAGGCAGGAACTTTGTTTTATAAATGGATGAGTCACTTTACAGATGATGAAACTGCAGTTTCGAGGGAGAGAAGGTAATTTGTTCCAGGACACACATGTGGTGGAACTTCGACTAGAACCAGAATCAAAGCATGCTGGTAGATATTTAGCAGTGGGTTCTTTGAAATGAATAAGCAACAACAACAACAACAACAAGATCAAACATAACACTAACAATCCCAATTTGTACTGTTTGCTGATTTACATGGTATACATATTTCCACCTGACTGAATTCAAGCTATCAAACAAATGTCAGTGAGTTTGCAAATTTCCTAAAAATTTAATCGTTGGCTTTTACAAGCCTGCCCATACAAGCAGGCTCCAGCACACCATGAACTAGAAAACAGGTCTGTTTGTGTCCAAAAGGTACTCTCTCACCATTACTCTATCCTGCCTCCCTGAACAAGAGAGTCTGTACTCACGTATAAGTAGGAGGGAGAAAGAAACTCACATAAACTTGGTTCAAAGCAGATTGCATAAATAGTCCTTAAAAAATATAAGCCCAATTAAGAAAAAAAATTCTCCTGCTTAAAGCCTTTTGACAATTTCCCAGTACTGTTAGCATAAAATCTAGTCTTTTTTTTTTTTTTTTTGAGAGATTTTCACTGTAGGGCACGTGCGCTTGCCAGACAGACAGAGAGAGACATAGAGACAGAAAGCGAGAAATCACCCCCCAGGGGGGATGGTCACGCCGCAATCCCTTCTCCTCCATTCTCCTCCCGGGATCTTGGGCACGCACGCACACGCGCCCGGCGTGAGTTTTAAGCCACCGGGTCCGGGACACGAACCGCGGTCGACTACGTGGGAATCCAGCGACATAGCCATTACACTAACTGCTGGTTCCCAAAATCTAGTCTTTTTATTGTGGCTCACAAGGCCCACTGCAAAACCTCTCCCTCTACCAGTCACCATAGTAGGCTTTTTGGATACAGTGGTGAACATAACATACACAATCCATGCTCTCATGGAGCTTACAGTCTAGTAAATGAGGCTGTCAGCAAACAAGTACTCAACTATTAAGTACAAAATTAAAGGCTGAGATATAAATGCAGTGGAGGAGGTGCTAGAAAAGAAAACCATAGGTTAGGGGTTGGTAACTTGGACTGATGAAAAGTTGAGAAAGCCACTCTAAAGAAGTGACAATTGGGGCCAGGAAGTGGTGAGGTGGTTAGGGCGCTGGATCCCATATAGATGACTGTGTGGTTTGAATCCAAGATCCAGTGACTTGAAAACACGCGGGGTACATGTGTGTGCCTAAAATCCCAAGAGGAGAATGGAAGAGAAGGAATTGTGGCATGACCATCCCCCTTGGGGGCGGGAGTGGGATGATTTCTCACTTTTCCTCTCTCTCTGTCTCTCTCCAATGAGAAATATAATGAGAACCATGAATGAGAGTTGTATATGTAATTTCAAATTTTCCACTGGGGCCAGTCCATGGCTTGGTGGTTAAGGGAGCTGGACTCCCACGTGGACAATGGTGTGGTTTGAGTCCCAGACCTGGTAGCTTGAAAAACATATCAGGCACATGTGCATGTGTGCCCAAAATCCTAAAAGGGGGAGCAAGGAAGAAGGGATTGTGGTGTGACTACACCCCAGTAGAGGGTGCTTTCTCCTTTTCCTCTCTCTGACTTTCCACCTTGCCCGGCCGGCAGATTAAAAAAAGTTTTTTTCTACTAATTGCATTTTAAAAGTAAAAATAAATGGGTGAAAAGAAATTTAATTAATAATAATTAATTTTAATCAGTAATATAAAATAAATATTGTATTTTATTTGACCCAATATTGCCAAAATATCATTTCAACACATACTCGGTATGCCTTACAAATTCTATATATTACTTACACGTATGGCACATCTCAGGACTAGCCTTATTTCAAGTGCTTGGTAGCTACATGTGAACTAGTGATATAGTACGGGACAGAGCAGAGCTGAGCCTCAGTTTCCTTCTCTGTGAAAGGAGGGTGAAAGGCCCGGGTCGCTTGAGACCCTGTTGACAGCACACGCACCCAGCACTCCGTCCTGCACTCAGCGGGCGCTTAAGAAACCTTGGTGCCTCTCCTTCTTTTCTCTTGCCTCGCCGCCCTCCTCCAAGTCTCCGCCCCTTTCCCCGCCCCCTTCAGGCTCCGGGCGGAAGTCGTACTGTCACAAATGCAGCGCGCTTTACGGTGCCGCTGCTTTTTACCGCAGTGTGTCCCGCTCGCTCGTCGCGCGCACTTTTATCCCATTGGCTCTGCGGCCGCACTTACGACGCTTCACGGCAGGGGGGCTGGAGCCGCTGCCCGGGGGCCCGCGATTCGGGCGTGAGTGGTGGGAACTCGTGCACCCGGTGTAGGGTGGGCCAGGAACCATGGACGTGGGCGAACTTCTGAGCTACCAGGTATGAGCGGCGAGGAGAGTTGGGGGCTGCCCCTTCACCCAGGAAGGGATCGCAGCGCCAGGGTTCCTTCATCTCACCTGGTTCTCACCTCTTCTCGGAGCCCTCTCACTTCTTTTGCCACCTGGGGTTCCAACCTCTCATTCCGCTTCTTCCAGGCCCTCTTGGGACTTTCAGTTTATTCCTTCTGTAGGCCTGAGCCCCTTCACCTCCTCTGGCCCTTCTCTGAGGCCTGGGTCCCTGCAACTCCAGACTGCCCTATCTTCACAACCATCCCTTCCCAGCCCTCTTCTCCCCTGAGTGTGTGGTGGTGCTGGTGGAGGAGTGTGGTCTTGGATTTGAACACCAGCTTCTCCACGCATTGGATGTGTGGCTTTTGGGCAAGGCATTTCCCTCTACTTGCGTCTAAGTTTTTGAATCAGTGAAGTGGAGTGAGTAATAACTAGTGGAGTTGTTTCAGGACTGTATTAACTGATGGATGTGAGAGCTGGTTTTAAAGTGCAGAAATGCTATCCCGAAGTTAATTGCGGTTGTTGAGAGGTGTTTGGAATTCTAGCTATGGATGGATCCCCAGGGATATTCTTGTCCCTCTTAGTCAGGGTAGTTGTGGGGAAACAGTGGCCCGCAAGGCAGAACACACTCAACAGGAAAGCAGAGCTGGGATTAGAACTCAGGTGTCCTGGCTTCCAATCCGAAGACTTTCCCCTCTTGACTCCCTAAAGAGGCTGTTTATAGGAAGCAGCAGAGCTATGCTGTCCAGTAGCCTCGTTACATCCACTGGCTGTTGAACACATGAAATGTGACTGTCCAAGTTGAGAACTATGCTGTAAATGGCAAGTCATAATGGATATTGAAAACTGAGGAAATAAAATCTTAAATATTGATTACATGATCATATTGATCAGATCTACATTGGTTATTGCTCATATTGATTAAATGATCCTAGTTTGGATAATGAGTGAAATAAAATATATTTAAACTACCTGTTTCTCTTGACATTATAATGTAAATACTAGGAAATTTAAAATTGCTTATATAGTTGGCCCTATATATATATGTATATATATATGTATATATATATATATATATATACATATATATATACATATATATATAGGGCCAACTATATAAGCAAGGGGATGGCCATATCACAATCCCTTCTTCATTCTTCTCTTGGGATTTTGGGCATGCACACATATGTGCCCAGCGTGAGTTTTAAGCTGCGAGTTGGGGACTTGAACTGTGGTCTACTACGTGGGAGTCCAGCAATGTAATCATTATGCCATATGCTGGTCCCTAGGCCTTATATTTCTGTTGGGCAACTCTGTTCATGAACAGGTGATTAAGAGCCATGAGTCTGGAGCCCTAGGTTGCTTGGAATCTCTGCTTTGTTACTGACTGCTATAACCTTGAATAAAATAACCTTTTTTTTTTTTTTGAGGGGTTTTTGCTATAGGGCGTGTGTGCTCGCCAGACAGAGACAGAGAGACGGAAAGCAGAAATCACCCCCCGAGGGGGTGGCCATGCTGCTATCTCTTCTCCTCCATTCTCCTCTCGGGATCTTGGGCACGCACGCACACGTGCCTGGCGTGAGTTTAAGCCACCGGGTCTGGGACTCGAACCGTGGTCGACTATGTGGGAGTCCAGCAACATAGCCATTACACTAACTGCTGGTCCCAAATTGTCTTTGTTTCCTCATCTATCATTGAGGGCAATGATATTACCTTCATTGCAGGGCTGTTGTGAAGTTTTAGAGAAATGTGAAGTGATTAGGCCCATGGTTGTCAGAGTAAATGTTCAGTAGTATTAACAATTATTTTTTTGTGACACTCTCAGTCATTGTACCAAAACTGACTTTGGAGACTCTAGACATTATGGGAAAAACTAAACAACAGGGAGAAATACAACAAGGAGATTTTTTAAAAGTTTAATCGATAGTGAAAGAAGAAAGGAAATGAAAGGGCTGTTGAGTGTGTGTGTATGTTGGAGTTGTGGAATTGACTCATTAGAATATTAAAGCTAGAAGAGGTCTAGTCATTTGTTTACTATATATATATATATATATATTGAGCATCTACTGTTTGCAGGGTACTGTGTCCATTGGTTATACACCACTGAAAAACAGATAAGGTTCTTGGTAGAGCTTATAGTCTAGTGGGGAAGACACAAGATGACAAACGAACAAACAGATTCCAATTGTAGTAGGTGCTATGAAGGAAATATATAAAGGAGAATGTTACAAAACTATGCTGTTTAGTATGGTGATTACTAGGTGCATATGACTTTTAAAAAAATTATTTAATTCCATTTGTTGTTATTATTTTTTTAATTCGAATAGAAAAAGAAAGGGAAAGCGAGAAACCAAGCTGCCAGGTCTGGGACTCAAACCATGGTCGGCCATGTGGGAATCTAGTGCCTTTAACCACCATACCACCTGCCAGCCCCACATATGACTTTTGAACACTTGAAATGTGACTAGTTTGAATTGAGATCTGCTCTATGTCTAAAATACATACTGGATAGCAAAGATTTAGTATGGAAAAAAGATGTAAATATTTTAATTTTTATATTGATTACATGTTGAAATGATAATACTTAGGATATGTAGGTTTAAAGAAAATATATTGT